TTTTGGTGTCAGATGAGGTCATTTCTTAATGAATGAAAAAAAAAAACCACAATCTCTCTTATACGTGTTGTACTTCCAACACTCACATTTATCATAATATCACTTTTAGTTCAAACTGAGAAGCAGACTTACCAGTCTTTTCCTGAGATGTTTCTCTTTTGGTGCCAGATGTCGTCATTTCTGAAAATACACAATCATGGTTAAAACAATTAGAGGAACAGATTTTGGTCTAATATAAGAGTCACTATCTAATCCGCTCTTCTGTTAAACACAAAATGTGATTGAAGAAAATCTTCTGTACAATGAAAGCAGACCGTAACTAGATGTCAAACTCCAATTTCATGCCCAAGACTCATTCAAGTCACATTGATTTCTATAGTGCTTTTTACAATAGGCCTGCAGACTGGTCAAAGCAGCTTCACCGTAATAAAGAGGAAAATAACCGTATTGATGCTATAAAAATAATCAATTATGAAACAAATTCAAGTTCAGCTGTAAATCAGCTCTACAGAAGACAATATTACCGTTATTCAGATCAGTTGAGTTCAATAAGTGTTAATGAGAACGACTTTTTGAAACTGTCTTTATCATTATCTTTATAGTTATCGTCCTTGGTGTGAATGCATGGGGCTTTAATGTTGCAAAGTACATTAGTCAGTTCTGTAAGCTCTTATGAAGCTGTATGACCCTGTGTGAGGAACCATTTAAAACAACATTTTTAAAAAAGCATATTTTGTGCTCCACAAAAAAAAAAAAAAAAAAAAGTGTGATGAAATAAACATTGTGCAAAATGTTATTTGGAAAATGTGTTTGTCACTCTCACTGTGTTAAATTAAATCAATGTGAAATCACCGCTGTGAACTAAAGTGATGCTTTAGTCAAAACCATAATTTTTTTCCTGGATTGTTTTATAATTGCCACCATCAAAGCTGATGTATCATTTGGCAAGACTGATGCAAAAAGCCAAAATGCAAGTTTTAAGAAAAAAATTAATACATTTGCTGTCCCCTCAACATAACTCAACACACAGCCATTCGTGTCTAGACCAATGGCCACAAAAGTGATTTTAAAAAAAAAATTTTTTGTCCCCCAAAAAAAAAAAAAAAAAAACAGTGTGAAAACACAAAAGACGCAGCCAGTTTTACTCAAACACAAGGGTTTTTGTTGCTTGCTGTTGTCTGTGGTTTTCAGCTGGTGTAAAACATCCCTGTTCACACACATCAGGCATGTTACTTTAACAGGACAGTTCACCCAAAAAATTATCACACTAAAAAAAAAGGGAAAAAAACGGTTGAAAAGCTGTTGTAATGTCCTGCCATGTTAAGGCCATGTCCACACGTACACGGGTATTTTTATAAACATAGTTTTTCCTTCCATTTAAAAAAAAAATCTCCTTCCACATGAAAATGCAAACGCATGCGATGAAGCACTGTCAAGAGCATGCCAAACCAACAGGTGGCGATATAATCTCAACCGTAAAGCCATGTTGGCCAATCAGAAGCCTGAAAAAGTCTCCAGTAGGCGGAGATAACAGTACATGCTCCGACATCACAAGCCAAAAACTCCAGTTTCGCCGTCTACACAATAACACAGTTTCTGAAAATCTTCACCCTGGCAGGCTTTTTCAAAAATGTTCGGTTTCAGTGACCTGGTGCTGCGTTTGCATGTGGACGAACGGCCAAACCTTGTAGAAAAAGCTGCGGTTTTAAAAATAACCGTGTTCCTAAGTTTACAGACATTTTATTTAACCTTAAAACATTACATAATGTAAAATTCAGTTAAAACACCTGTTTTTTTGTGTTTTTTAAGTGGATTCTTCTATCACATTCTTTCTAATCAAACACACCTGGACAAGCTAATCAGTATCTTTACTGAGTACTGGATTACTAAGGTTACGGGCAGATTATTTCCTTTTTTTCAGGGTTTGAGCTAAACTCTGCAGGACAGCTGCTCTCTAGGACCAAACATTTTTGTATTCATCTGAAGGAAGATGATTCTGAATTCTCGGTGTATGATCCGCATAATGAAAGAGTGTTTTACCTCCGGTCACGTGTAGCTGAACTTCAGTGAATATGAAGGACCCAGAACTCTCCTCTGCACACCAGTATTTCCCAGAATCCTCTGCTCTCAGATTGCTGATCTTCACAGTAAAGACTCCAGCAGAGGTTTCTTCAGTCAGAGAGAATCTGCCGTTTGTTCTGTTATTTGATGAAACATGAACTCCGTCTCTGACGCAGATATTCAGCTGATCTCGTCTGCAGAACAACCTCTGTGCTTGATTCCTGATGTGTTTACAGCTGATGGACGCTGATCCTCCGACAGACGCTTCATGAGTGACCGCTGAAGAGCTAATGAAAGAGTGTTTTACCTCCGGTCACGTGTAGCTGAACTTCAGTGAATATGAAGGACCCAGAACTCTCCTCTGCACACCAGTATTTCCCAGAATCCTCTGCTCTCAGATTGCTGATCTTCACAGTAAAGACTCCAGCAGAGGTTTCTTCAGTCAGAGAGAATCTGCCGTTTGTTCTGTTATTTGATGAAACATGAACTCCGTCTCTGACACAGATATTCAGCTGATCTCCTCTGCAGAACAACCTCTGTGCTTGATTCCTGATGTGTTTACAGCTGATGGACGCTGATCCTCCGACAGACGCTTCATGAGTGACCGCTGAAGAGCACAACATTAAATATGATGAGTTTGATTACAGAAGGAGCAGAAACATTGAGATTATTCCCAAATAAACATCCTCACCGTCCTTCGTGATGATCATGAGCTCAATGGGAAGGTTAAACGCATCTTTCACTGCACACCAGTATTTCCCAGCATCCTCTGCTCTCAGCTCAGTCATGGTCACAGTGAAGAGATTGAGTGCAGTGTCGTCCTTTACTGAAATCTTTGGTTTTTTAATATGATCTTCATCTGACCTAATTATATTTTGAGCATCTGGAGTGAAACACTTTCCTTTGCACAGAAGCTTTATTTCTTTTGTGTGGTTTTCATCATAAGGGCATTTGATCTCGACTGACTCTCCTTCACGTCTGATCACTGGAGACAATAATAGTCAGAGAGAATAGAGAAGTATTTATACACTGTGAAATACATGCATATAATATTGAACTGCATGGTTTGTGGTTTCTGTACACACTGGTTAAAGTCAGTTGGTGGTTATTGGTGAGAGAAACAGAAGTCAGATATGTGTCTCTGGTTTCTGCTCCACACCAGTAAACTCCAGCATCTCTCAGGCTCACATTACTGATGCTCGCTGTAAAAACTCCTGCTGTACTGTCAGAAAACTCAAAGCGCTGCGTCTCTGATGAGCTGATGCTCTGACAGATCTTCTTCTTGTTCTCTTTGCAGATGTGTTTGATGGTCTCGTGTTTCTCAGGGTAACTGCAGCTGAGTTTCACACGTTCACCAATAATAGCAGCTGATTCGCTTGATGCATGAAAATGATCAACTACAAACAAAAACAAATTTAAAAAGTCTTATTTTCTCATTTTAACTTCTAGAAATTGTCCAGAAACAGGCTCCTCACAGAAACTCTTTACCTTGATTGATCTTCAGTGTGATCTCAGTGAACAGATGATCGTCAGCGGTATTCACTCCACATCTGTACGTTCCTTCATCAGCTGCTGTTAAATCTCTGATAAAAACCTTCAAAACTCCTTCACTGGTATCATCATACATGAGCACTTTATCATGACGGACCCATCGATTCTGTTCATCAACAGGGATCTTCTCTGATGAATCTTTCTGGATGAATTTTTTGTTTTCTATAAATTCTTGTGGAAATTTACACGTTATGAAAACTGCTTTACTGATGTAGGCCTCAACCTGGACAGAAGATATTTGACCTGCAAGACAAGATGTGATTTATTACATTATTAACAGTCAGGAGAGATTTACATTTCTTATTTAGAGCTGCAAGGATTTTATCATTAAATAGAAACTAAACTCACTAGAAACATTCAGCTCAATCTCCTTAATGAAGGTTATGTGAGTAATTGATGTTTTTGAAGGTCGATCATCTGATCCGTCTCTCTCCACTCCACATAAATAAACTCCACGCTCCTCTGCAGAAATGTTTCTGATGGTCACAGTAAAGTGATCTTTCTCTCTGTCAGTCAGGTTGAACTTCTCTTCAGATGATTGAGATGATTGAGAGCTGTTCAGCACAAGCACAGGATCTCCCTTCACTCTGTAGAAGACTTTGGTGTGTTTTTTAAACTTATGCTCATATTCACAACTGAAAGTGATCATTTGACCAATATATGCAGTCTGGATAACAGACGTCCCACAAGAAGAAGACTCTGAAAATGATTTCAATAAAACCATTGTGACATGCACGGAAATCTTAAAATAGTATTAGTAGTATAGTACACTCTTAAAAATAAAGGTGCTTCACGATGCCATAGAAGAACCTTTTTGTCTAAATGGTTCCATAAAGAACCTTTAACATCTGAAGAACCTTTCTGTTTCACAAAAGGTTCTTTGTGGCGAAAAGAAGGTTCTTCAGATTATAAAAAGGTAAGAAAGAGATGGTTCTTTAAAGAACCTTTGACTGAATGGTTCTTTGTGGAACCAAAAATGGTTCTTCTATGGCATCGCTGTGAATAACCTTTTGAAGCACCTTTATTTTTAAGAGTGTAGTAGTAGTAGTATTAAAGATGCACTAGGGAACTTTGGCCTCTCTATCGCCATCTCTGTTTGACAGATACAGTGTCATGTTTCTTGCAGAGTTATTTAGAGTTAGTTCACCCACAAATGAAAATTACCCCATGATTTACTCACCCTCAAGCCATCCTAGACGAATACAATCAGAGTTATATTAAATAATGTTCAGGCTAATCCATGCTTTATAATGGGAGTGGATGGTAGCCCAAAATGTAAAGTCTAAAGAATTGCACCCATCCATTATAAAAGAAGTCCACATGGCTCCGGGGGGTTAATAAAGGTCTTCTGAAGTGAAGCAATGCATTTGTGTAAGAAAAATATGCATATTTACAACTTTATAAACATTAATCTCTAGCTTCCGCTAACTGTCGTACGCTCGTTCACAAGAGAGTGGCGTCCAGCGGATGACGTAGGCGTAGCATAAGCTCCTGTGAGAATATGCTAGTCTCGCGAGAAACAAGTTTTGTTTACAGCAAAGGAAAACCAGTTGTCCTCTTGGCTTATATCGACATTTTTCTTTACAAATCCTCGTTTTGTACCTCTAATTCGTGACCAGTGTTTTGTTTTGCTCTCTCCTCTGCGCTTCCACGTTCGTCACCGCGTTTGCCTACGTGCTACGTCATGCGCTGGACACCACTCTCTCGTGAATGCACGTATGACAGTTAGCGGAAACTAGAGATTAAGATTCATTAAGTTGTAAATATGGATATTTTTCTTACACAAATGCATCGCATCGCTTCAGAAGGCCTTTATTAACCCCCTGGAGCCGTGTGGACTTCTTTTATAATGGATGGGTGCAATTTTTTGGACTTCAAATTTTGGGCTACCATCCACTCCCATCATAAAGCATGGAAGAGCCAGGGTGATTTTTAATATAACGCCGATTGTATTCGTCTGAAAGAAGAATGCCATATACACCTAGGACGGCTTGAGGGTGAGTACATCACAGGCTCATTTTCATTTTTGAGTGAACTATCCCTTTAACGTGGGTTGTGCTTGTCTGTATTGTCACCTGTGATCACAACACGAGAGAGATCAGTCATCCTACATCAAGACAGAAACATACTGACAGTGTTCCTATAAGGAATATATCCAGAAGAATATGTAATTTGAACAAGTAACGTTTAGTAGATGGTCTTCTTTCTGTGAACTCTCAAATAACACTGACGTAAAACTGACATTTCGGTAAGCTCAAATTATAAATCATTATTATACTGTTGTGAATTATTATAATGCAGCGAGGCAGTTTGAACACTGAATCATGAATTTGCTTAATTGATTTTTGTCCTCGTAGTGCACCTTTAAACAATACTATAATAAAAATAAAATAATTACTGTAGTGAGTTATAAAGTATCATACGCACTTTTGTTCACCACTAAATCAACA